GATTCCCAGGTGATTCTAATGTGCAGCCAAGGTTGAGAACCACTGTTATAAACCCTCCAGGAACCTGCTGACAATTTCCAAACCCTCTCTCTCAGGTGTCTGGTTTCCTGCGGACGGAGGCGGGAGCAGGAGGTCCTGCAGGTCTTGGGGTGACAGGGGTCACTCGGCTGTTCTAGCAGCTCAAAGAGCTTCTGCCCTGAGACCCTCGGGCGTGTGGGACTGAAGTCCTGCCACAGCACCTGGGGTAGCTGGGAGGGAGAAGGAAGGGCACGGCCCGACCTCAGGCAGGACAGTCCCAAGGGGTCACCCAGGCTCCTGGGGGGCTGCCTCTGTCACCCTGAAAGCGCCCCTTGGGCTTGTGGAGCAGCAGACGTGTTAGTGAGAGAGGCGGGCTCACCGCCCAGGCCCAGGTCACCCCGGCCACACGAGCGCAGCTCTGCCCAGGGCAGCCTTGGCCCAGTACCCACCTCGTGGCCCTTGAAGAAGGGGGACACCTCCAGGGTGGCCCGGATGTCCTTCAGCCGGTCCCGGTAGGCGATCTGGGAAGAGAAAGATGACGGGTTTTAAACACTTGGGGCTGGGGCTGGGTTTGAAGCCCCATTAGGGTCACTGCGTGTCAGGGGGAGGGGCACGCAGGTAATGTAAGCAACCGAGGCCCAGAGCAGACCGGGGGGCCGAGCTCCTGGCCACACCTTCCCAGGCCGCACGGCTCCGCGGGCCCCGTGGGAGAGGCCCAGCCCCGAGGCCGGTGCAGCTCACACGGGGTTAAGCTGACTCTGGCATGCAGGGCAGGGGCAGGCAGCATCCTGGGAGCCCGTTGCCATGGCGCCTTCCTGACACCAACGTCAGTGCCCTGACTTCTGAAAGGGCAGAGCAAGCGGGAGAGCCACACACCCCTCCCCAAGGGCCTCTCCATGGAGCCCTACAAACAGGGCCGATGTGTGGCCTGGGGGTGCCGCGGGCAGGCCAGCAGCCCGGGCACGGCCCCGGGAGCAGACCCCTCCCTTCGGGGCACAGGAAGCAGCTTCTGAGCTGCTCTGTGAGGAGCTGGTGACCCGGCACCCAGAGCCTCAGGCCGGGAAGGGCGGGTGCGTGCCCAGGGGTCAAGGGGAGTCTCCCCAGAGGAAAGGGAGGGAATGTCCCCAGCTCCAGCGGCCCTGTCTCCTTGGAGAAAAGGGTCTGCCCCACCCTCCCTGCCCTGCAGCCCTGTTAGAGGGCGCCTCAGTGCCCAGCCCCTGTGCCTGCGTGTGGGACTGTCACAGGGCACCCACCCCGTGTACCTGCGTGTGGGACTGTCACAGGGCTCCCAGCCCCTGTGCCTGCGTGTGGGACTGTCACAGGGCTCCCACCCCGTATGCCTGCGTGTTGGACTGTCACAGGGCTCCCACCCCTGCAGCTGCCCCAGCAGGGCCCCCACCGCCCAGCCCTGACCCAACTCTACAGCTGGGCCAGGAGGGCCGAGAGTGAGCGACAGACAACAGAAACCAGGAACCCTGCAGGGACCGCCCTCCACTCCGGGGTGCTGGCTGCTGGAGACCTGCAGGCCGCGCCTCTCAGCCCTGCTCTGGGGGTGACTGAGCTCGCTCTTCAAGCCCCACAGCAAGGGGGGGCATAGGGAGAGCATCTGAGACCCTTCTGGGGAGACGAAGAGAGAAAGGGGTGGCCCTGGCGTTGTGGGGCTCCGTGCAGCCTCCGCAGAGCTCCCTGGGGACACGAGGGGCAGGGCTTGGTCCTG